CGCCGAGCACTGTCCAACATCCGACCCTAAAACTGCACTTGTGCTGTTTTTCTTAAACACATTAAAAAAATGGCTTTATTTATGTCATTCAGAAATAATTTATGGCACATTTAATGCATTCTATTCATTTAATGCATATCCCTGACATTCACACAGCCAACGAGGCCTGAAGAGGAAATGTTGCATATAGTCGATTTTGACACATCAGCATAAGGACAGAAGCAGCCAGGAATAAAACCTCTGACCTTCTAAGGCAAGGCCACTGAAAGAGGATTCTTATCAATTACACCTATTTTACCATGACAAGACAATAAATTATCATACAGTGTTTCTTAAACCAAGCACATTTTCATATCATCTTTTGGAAACAAAAGTAATTCTTTTGACATTTAGAATAATTGTCAGAATGACTGCTCCTGGTTCAAGCAGTCGGAATAAAAACATTTCTCAAAAATATGTTTACAATGTCAAACAAAGAATCAAAAAGTGCAGTGACAGTTTTCAGCTGATTAAAAGGCAAAAGCTTTGTTTAATTCTCCACAAAGTTGAAGCTGGTGTGTGTGTGTGATTTACAACATATTTGGGGGCATTTTGCATCGTCTTGGGATATTGCCAACAAACCAATCCCATGAAAAGTTATTTCCTCACAAGACTATTTATTTAGTCAAGGCTAGAGTAGTTTAACTGGATGGCTTTCATTTCACGCTTCATACTCTCAATGTGATTAATAAGTAAAATGCTGTAGACGAGAGAGAAAGGCCATCATTCAATCCTATCATCCCGGTACGCCAGGAGCACCGACTATCCTGAGGCATTCGGAGCTCTTGTCAATCACTGCTCAGAAAATCAAGCCCATTTGCATCTCCTCTGACGAGTCCTCAGCAGGTCCGACTACTTCCAGTGCTAGCCGGAGTAAGATAGGAGATATTGTCGGCTATCAAAAGTGTTTCGCCGGCGCAGCAAAATGGCAAGCATACAATTAGCTTCAGCGTTTGTAATTTTTACCCTTTTGTGGAAAGATGAGGATGAATAAATTTGATTTGAGAGAGCCAAATTAGTCAATTGACTTGTTAATAAGACGCTGGTTCCCCAGCGAGCTAATTTAGGTGGAGGATTTTAAAGTTATTGTTTAACCTTTTGAGTTGTGGAGCAAGGATGTCCCTCTGAAATACGACATTAAAAATATGACATTGTGATGAGCTAATATTTTAACAATATTTTACTTTGTGTGTTTCTGACTTTAAAGAAGAACTCAAAGGTAAATATAGAAAGGGGGTGGAGAGGGATATCAACTAATCAATTAATCAAAAAAGAGATGCGCAAAAATATAAACAGATAAATACTGGTATATGTGATAAACGATGAATAATGATACAATTAAATGGATAAAATAACGATTGCTAAAATTGCTAATAGCAAAAAAGTCAATGAAACAAATATTTAGCAATCAACTATAAATGAGAACTAAATTGAGTATGTATTTTTATATAGATTTTAAATTCTGATAAAGGTATCTACCGTATTACATGCAATCTTGTGTGCAGGACTCACTGGCAAACATGATAATAATCATTCTGCCAAAGAAACAGCACTTAGTCTCTTTATAAAATGTTGCTAAGTTAGGCCAGAAGGGCTGTTGATCATTTTCCTTTTTTATCATCCAGAGTCCTGTGTCCTATCTCATGCTCTCCTTTCTTCAACGGGTTTGCTATTGGCTTTGAGTCTTGTTATTTTGTTGAAAGACTTAAACATCCTTGTACTTCCAAAAGTTTAAGCTGTCCTGCAGTTGAACAAGGTTTTCGGGGCTTTTGCGGGGGGAGAAAACATCAGGCTCAGGGCAGAAACGATCAGCTAACATGCACAACAGAGGGGATGAGGGGCTTTTCCATGACCTCATCTTTTTATTTGCAGTTGACCCGTCGGGAGTGATTCTTGTTGCAAGAATACTTCCTGTAATGGGAAAAGCCCCAATGCATTCAATACAACTGCCTGATATGGAAAACATCATGCGAGTTTTCTTTTTTTTTTCTTTTTTTTTTTTGTTTAAATGAATATCGTTACATACTTTACCTTTAGGTAACATTGGATAAAGAAGTTTCCTTGTGAACGCGTGTCAAATAGTACTTCATGAAACTGTTGCAAAGGTGCTGGGGTTTGTGATCTTCCTGGCTCCTGTCGCTGCAGATGAGAGTGGAGCCATGTGGCGCAGCTTGTGACAAAGCAAGGCGCTGATGAAGGAAACAGCAGGGACCGCACACTCTACGTCCCATCTCCATGGTGCAACATATTAAAGTCTCATTTACTGACAAAAGACATTCAGCCCCGCTGTTAGTCACACCAGCGCTACAACAAGCGGTGGCAAAATGAGAGATGGCCCCTCTTTGTCTCAGTCACCGTCAGGCATATTTGTTCTCTGCTTTCAGCTTTCCAGTGACTTAAAAACAAAAGCTGTTAAGGTAAGCTTGAAGGCAAAATATGACAAAATTCACGGTGAAACATTTCCAATTAGCAGCAGGGAGGATGTTATGTACTGCTGAGCTCTTTGATTGTTTTTTTTTTTTTTTTAATAGGGTTCACAACCAGGAAATGTACATTTGCACCTTGCAGTTTTGTTCCTGTGCTGATAAGAGTCTCTCTTTTCCATTTCAAACAGGAATTAGAAAGTGAGTCCTTCTACTAGAGGCACCAAAATTCCTGCATTGTACTAAGTGATGTATAAGCCGCGGATAAGGATGAGAAATGCGACTGTTAAATAGGTGGATTTTGACATGGAAGCACTTTAATCTGCTGCTACTCCTGTTGTAAGCAGACGTGACAAAGGCAGCTTTGTCAAAAGAAGAAGGGTTATTTTGTGCCGCTTTCTCTTAAATGCCTTTTTCTAAATGCTCAGTTATTTATCTGGCCATAAAGTTGCTAGAATATAAAAGAGCACTAATGTACTGTTAAAATGTCATTATCTTTTATGTGACATCAATTTGGTTCCTGCCTAAATAGAAACACACATATGCCACAACATGCTACTTTACACAATGCCAGATCAAATATCATTGTCTGTGTGACATTTTAGTCCAGTGCCCAGGTCCAGACCCAACCAAATGTGATGGTGGGCAAAAGCGATAAGAAGAATAGAGTGAGGAGATAATGATCCCAAACAGGATGTGATGTCTTTACACTTTTCCAGCCACTTGGTTACTGTTGGTTACTGCACATACCAATGTGCCATTTTAGTAGCATTTTGTACATCCTGTATCTGTAGATGTGGTAAACCGTGGCCTCCATTGTTCTTGTGTTGAGTCCCTACCCATTCAATCATTATTACTGGCCTCTGCGCTTCTCTTTCATTCCTCTGTAGTTATTTGTAGGACTTCTAAGTATCAGCCAACTGTCTCAGTTTTCCAGTGGTTTATACCATGTGGGGGATTATCTTGCCACGATGGTCAGAATTGTCAAGTACTTGTCTTAAAATGACTGGAAAAAAATAAATAAATAAAAATTGAACGTGGCTCAAACACTTTGGAAAAAAAAAAAAAAAAGGCCAAGAGGAAGCCTGTACAAGTGCTGTGTTAGACGACTTTGATAGATGTCAAAATTTTTAATAAAAGTGATTAAGAGATGAATAGTTAAGATTTCCGTCTGCAGTAAACTCTGTGTTATACGAATGGAGCAAAAGGGACAGTTTAAAACATTAGAAAGGTTGCAAGAACAAGGCTTGATGCAAAGTTTCAACTATTTATACAGACAAAACTGAGACCTTAATCGTTCATCAGCTTCTTTAACCCTTCCACATGGAAGGTCTTTGTCAACGAGGCCTCCGAATCTGCAAACAAGTGCAACACAAGAGTTTACAAAGTGCTGTCGTGAGCCTTAAGTTTCCCACAACATGAGCACAAACATAGCCTTTGTTAAACAAGTGTTTCTGTAAGATAAAGTGGAACAATAGCGAGTTCAACAATAACAGTCGCTGGTGTTCCCTTGTTGTGCAAAATTGCAGTTTCTGCTTAATTAGGACAGAAACATGAAGGAGCAGTTAAAGAGGGGTTTGGGGAGGGGGGGATCCTAGAAAAACTAAGCAGCAAAAATCCAGATTTATAGGGCTAAATCAGTCTGACTAGTGAGCAAATGCTGATTGCATTTTAAAACAAGTTGATGAAAACAAAATGCCCACTTGGGGGGGTGGGCGGGGAATAAAACAAAATAAGACATTTGTTTTTTTATGGCGTGATTTGCTGCATATTAGGGAACTAATGTGGTTAGTTATAAAATATAAAATGCGCATATTTACATTGCTTCAGTTTGTAAAACCTTAGTCTTTGAAGGATTTCAGGCTGGTTCTGTGCTGTTGCCTTGTTCTCCTTGTTTACCGTCTTCACAACATCTTTAGGTGACAAACCGAAATAGACACAGTGAGAAGTGCTGCAAAAAGAGGCATCCCCGTCCAGGGAACGAAAAGCCTCCACTTTAGATGCACTTATGCCGATGATCTGTGATATCTTGAAGACACTGTAACCCTGAAGGCTTTTTTCAACTGAGTAAGACCTGACCGAGACGTCGGGTCTGAAAAGATATGCATGACAAATGGCGATCAGACTGATTTATTTAATGAATAATGTAACAGGTTTTGTGTTCTAAAAGCTGTGGAGTCACTAATTTTTTTTTCTGCTTATTTAACATTCTTCAGGATTAAAGGAGTCTAGGTAAAGTTAAACGTAAATCTGGTGCTGTTACAATATGTGCGTTGTAATTCTTACAGTTGACACTAAGAATTATAGTTTATTTTTCATTTACAAATAGTTATAATTTCATAGCCACCGCACTCTTTTGACAGCTGAATTGTAATTTGTTCTTTCTTAACCCAGAATGTGCCTTAGTATTGACTTGGTCCTATAAATATGCATTTCATTAAAAATAAGCAGTTTAACGAAAATACACAATGTAGGGAGGAGAATAAATTATTGGTGCCCAAGCCCAGTCCTCACCAGCTACTCTCCTTTCACTTTTAGCTTTATCTCTGCCAGAATGAAATGAGGAGGAATTGTTTCATCAGCCTTCATCAGCCTGTCAGCCCTGCAGAGCGCCGCTAACAAGCTATTCATTTGATTCAGGTGAGTTGAAGAAGGGACGTATGGAAAAGATGCGGGGTAATGACCTCCGAGAACTGGTCTGGGACCAAAATGTGGAAAATCAAAACACCGGTTTCATGTTTCATTGTGTCCATGCTAGCCACACTTTTTTTTTTTTTTCTTAAACAGTGACATCATAGGTCCGTTCCTCTCTCTATAACCTGTACGTGGCTCTCTCTCTCACAAATAAACATGGCACCATTTGGTCTTGTTCAGTGTTTCCTGCTTCATTCAGTGCGTTCACATGCTCCGTGTCGTCATGAGGACGCACATTAACACTTAATCGTTTGCAAAAAAATTACTTAAGTAAATGGCTACAAAAAAGCCCACCGATCCAGCTAGAAAAGAAAAAGTTTTCACTATTTGTATCCTCCGTGTTGGATTTATATCTATTCCAAACTGAGTTGGATGCACTGAATTCACTAATTAATGCAATACAGGTGAACAGGGGAGGCCAACATGCAAAGACACCAGTCAGATGGAAATATTTAAACCACAGTATAAAAAGCTCCAACCACCCGCGGCACACACTTGATCTGTCTGATCTTCACAGTGTTTTTATTCATCTGTACGGTATCCTCAGGGCAAAGATCTGACAAATACCATGTCGATTATTTGTTGTTTGCTGTAACGTTTCTTATTGCCAGCAGATTGCCAACCTTTCGGCTCTATGTGACTTTGTGGTGTCTTGTGTGACATCATCAATCTCGATGCACACGTTGTCAAAGTAGCAGTGTTTGTACTCCTTATAAAATCTTGGAGTAAAAAAAAAAAAAAAAAAAGATATCCAGTGTCTACCTATGTTTATGTTTTTGTTGCTAAACTACTAGTTAATGGAGAAAAAACCCAGCTGACTAGCTTTAACGTCTAGCATTTGAATTAGGTAATTAAACTTAAAGTAAGGATGAAAGGAAACGTAAATGTATTGAATAAATTTGCTGAATACACAGTCCACACACGAATAACTCGATGCAGCCTTGCTCTATGCATCACATCAAACAATTAAATTGGAGGGGGGAAAAAGTCTTCTTTTAGTTTCTGGGTGTCTAAGTGCCCAATTTGAAAATGTAGCAGGAGTCTCATCGGGGCTCACGGCCACTGCAGGGGCTTATTATATAATACCCGAGTACTTTACAGCGAGGCCTGAATAGTCTCTCAGTGGTGCTACCTTTATATAGATTGAATGTGATATTTTATGAGACTGGACCAGCAAGAAACAAATAAAACAAAGATTTATATGAAAGTAAATACCTTCAGTGCATGCAAAATATTTGAATTAAAAAAAAAAAAAAGCAATTTAATTCTTTATTGACATTTGTATTTAATGAAGTGCAAAGTGACGGCGTCCGGTTCTCTTCTGATGTTTAAAGATGGCTTCAGGTCAAGGTCACAGATAAAAGCCTCCTTTTCATTATTTCTCTTTATTGAGTGTTACTGCAGAATGGGGGGGGGGGTTAGATTGAAGCATCTTAGCCACAAGCACTCTCTTTCCTTTGTGCTTCCTTGAAAATGCACAGACACATAACCCGTACTCCTGAGCTCCTCACAGTCGACCGACAGAAGTCTGCAGGATGACAAATGAATACTGTCACTCGGCTAAACACCTGCCTGCACTTTTATTACAGTCATGTTCTGCGGTTCCATGTTTCACTTTGTTTACTGTCTGTGCGTGTGGGGTTGCAGGGCTCAGAATAGCGAGGAGCTTTTTCACTCTTAAGCAGAACGATAACTCAGGATTTTCACACACAGAGAGTAATTACGTACTGTATAATGCGCCCTCCAAATGGAAAACAACAAGCCATATTTAATGCATTCCTGATGTTTTAGTACTGTTACTGCAATAAGTGAAACACGTCTTGACCAGAGGAAGTGGCTAAGTGAACCTGCAACCCTTTGCCCTTCACGCTACCCTGTGTTACCCGTCTATGTGTGGGCCATTAGAAGAGCCGCTGAGGGACTGAGTGTCACTTTGCATTAGTGCAGCTGCCTTGTCCATCCTCTCCTTCCTGTCTGATAGGATACAGTCTTATATCATAACCTGCTGTGTCAAATTCTGAAATCACACGAGCCGCGCTGGGCATTATCGCTCCTGTCCTGATCCTAATCATGCTAATGCATCCCATTATGCAAAGGGCTGGAAACAATGTTGTGGTGAAAATATCGAGATCAGGTTCACGTATTGGGTTCTTTGGCAAATTTGCCGGATCAGCAGCCGCAGCACTGCCGATGTCCAACAATTAAGATGAGGAACAGTCTGATAAACTGGTAGAAAGAGTGCTAGTTCTCTCTCTTTTTGGGAAGATTCAGTGGTTAGCATTTTGACACAAAGTCCTTATATCCAGATAGAATGAGGAAACAGCAATGTAATAGTAATCTTCTTTTTTGTTTGTTTTATAAGTTGATGTAATATGAGTAGTAATCTTTCTTTTTTTTATTATTCAGAGGAAGAGGAATATCGTACCTGCTCTATGATGTATTCAAGATATGACTTCCTGGAGCTGAAGGATGAAATTAAGCAAGAATATATATTTTTGTCCATATACTTTGTCAACACCATATTCACTGCCATGTCTTCATCCATCTTATATAAACCCCACTAAAATACATTTAAGGTTATAAATTCAACCGCATGCATGAATAAGTCTTTGAGGTGTGTTTTCATTGATAGTGTTTTTTCTTTGCACAGTTGTTACTCCGGGTTCAGTGACTGGAACTGGAATTATGAAACCAGAACAATTTAGTTACAAGCTAGTTACGTCAGTAAGTATTATCTATATTTAGAATAGAATAGAATTAATTAAATGTGCAAAGGAACAGGAATCTTCTATCAGGACTGTCATGGATGCAAGATATTATTTCCTGGAGCTGAAGGACAAAATTAAGCAAGAATGGGCAAATGGGCAAGATAGCAATAGTGATGAAGAAATAGTGCTGGGACTCGATTAAAATTTTTATTCGCGTTACTTGCAGTGTGTGTAAGTAACTAATTGCAGTTAATCCCATGTTAACCAGACAAAATAAGCAACATTTTCAATTCAAAAACTCTTTGTGCCAATAAATGATTGGATGAATATAAGATCTTGACAAAAAATATAGTTATTGTTGTCGATCTGTCCCATCAATTTAGTGCAAAGTGCTCTTTACCAATTCGGCTCTCGAGTGTTTCAGAAACTCCTGATCATTCCTGTAGCATTTAGAAATGTGGACTGCGTACCGTGACGGAGTTGAGGACGTGTGTGTGCTTGCTGCAACGTGTTTTGAGACGGTATTTTTGCCCTGAATACCTTCAGTGGTGGGCCAACTCTCTCTTTTTGCACAAGTTGCACACAAGCTAAAATGAACTCGCTCTGGGCCAACAGAAGCGACACAGTCGTGTTTCAGGCGTACCAGATACGTGACTGAATTTTTATATATTTTTGGTACGACTAAATTTACCCATCTGTTAGTGACATGCTAATGTGATAACATACATAGAAGTTTCACACAAACAGCAAAATGCTAAGAACTTAACAAGTCACTTATTAAATTGAGCTATACTTTCATTACTTCTGTGTTTAGCAAAACCTAAACCTTTATAATCACGTCGTCTTGGTTACCGGAGCTAATGAACGGGTGATTTGTGATTACGTCATTGTTTAGCTTTCAGTCTAATTACCTTATCTGGGAATCTCTTTTTTTTTTTTGTTTTTGTTTTGCTTGAACTTTTAATGACAACAGGTGAAGCGTGGGAAACAGAAACTCCGGTGAATCTGACACACTCCGCAGCCTTTTCTGAAGTGCGTCTAAGTGATCATGTAATATGGGCGGGACATGTCTCGGCGGTGATTAGCTAGATTTTTCTTCTCTTTGAGGAGAAATTATTTAATTAGCTTGGCCTTTCCGAGGAGCTTAACCTTTTAAAATGTCAGGTGAGGAGGGTTTAAAATAAGTGTGCCTTATTCTCAGAGAATTCCCGTTTTGGGGGAAGGATGATGACCTATAGAAAGGAGGAGAAAAGAGCATCTGACAATGATGAATCTTATGACTGTGGGCAATTTGTTATAGGTTAGATATTCTACTGGAAATTCCTTTGTGAAGCAGCACACCCACGCTGCTAAACACGCCAATCAAGAGGAGTTGCTCCACCAACCACCTGCACGGACGTTTTAAGAACCCATGGACTCTGTCATAATAAGTTTATACCCAGCTGGATCTTTCTAAGCAAGTTTAAACAGGAATCTGGGTTAACTGAATGGACAGCAGAGAATAAAGTACAGCTTTCCCTTTCAGTGACAGGCCCATTTGTTTGATCTGTGACGGATCAACCCCCCCACCCCACCACCACCACCTTTCTTTTGTGGGTTTCCTCTCCCTTTGTTGTCACCACTTTAGCTGTCTTTACTAATCATCGCCTTTCATGTCAAATAAATGAGGTGTTTTATTGCCATTGTTGTCGTGGCTCCACCACTGGTCAGGATAAACGTAGAAAAAAAAAATACAGAGCATTCTTCAAGGACATGCCTACATGTAGAGCCAGCCCAGCTCAGCTGTAAAGGCTACTGTCAAAGTGGATTGGATCATCCGGATGACACATCCAGTGCACTTATCTCTGTAAGGAATGAAAAAAATAAAAATAAAAAGAAGATATGTGAAAATTTAATGACTCTAAGAGGAATGTGGTGTTCAGGAAAGGAGGAAAAAAATGTGACAAACTGGACTGTGTATAGAAATGTCACTATAACATGGGTTGTTAAAAATAAACCAAAAGAAATTGCTTTCAAAGTCTTATTTTGCCACGGCAATGGCTTCTTTAAGTTTCAGCTTCTCTTGTGTTTCTGGTTTAAAGTCACACTATGAGTTTAAAAAAAAAATAAATCTTCCAACAAATCACATCCTGGATATATGAGAATTCAGCTTTAATGTGTAGTGTTTTAATAAAAAAATACAAAAATCTTTTCATATTCCCTGGAGTCGCTTAGAAGAAAAAAATAGCATCTGCGCTTCTGCTACTAACCTCAGGAAATGAGTCATGCATCTCTTGCTTGACTCAATATCTGAATTATTCAATGTATGCAGAGAGGCCAATCCTGCGTCACAAAGAGATGGGGGCACTTTACAAATCAATCACAAAATTTGTCCCCTCCCCTTTTTTTTTTTTTTTTTTTTTTTTACTCGGGATGTCTTTATCTGCAAGAACTATGACAGCACCATCAGCTGACGCCAGTCGTAACCATTTTCTGTCCACCTATATAAAAAAAAAGTCCTTTTTTGAAATAATTGTGTTAAAGAAGTAGACACCATGTCACGTATTTGCAGCATGTCTTTGCAATAGCTCTTCGTTCTGTCATTTAGTTTTTTAAAAAAAACAAAAAAAACAGCTGCATTTTGAAATGCAAAGTCTAGAAACAATGCGAGCTCTGAGCAAGCACGGGAAAATATTTCATTCTGCAGTAAGTCGGGCTTCTTGGTTTTCAGAACCACACGTGCGCGGAGCTTTTAAAAGGAAATGTGATGCAAGGTAGTGAAAACGGGAAACTATGAGTACTTTGGAATGATTCTGTTGGAGTCGATTTAACAAAAGTGCTAAAACTTCCTGAGCTCTAACGCTTTAGACGTGTTGTCGTTTTCAGTATTCGGATTAGTTGCAGTGACTTTCAGAAGTATTCATACCCATTCAGTTTTCTTTTTTTCCATATTTCCTTTCACTACAATTACAAACTTACACGTATTTCAGTATGATTTTGGTTTGCTAGACCAAGTCAAAGTAGTGCACAATTTGTCAAGGTGAAGGAAAACATTGTATGGATTTCAGTTTGTTTTACAAACACCTTCAGTCTGATAACCCTGCATAAACTGTCATTGTCAGCAATCGCCTCCAGGGTGCACCTTGTTGTAATTTAATCTCACTTTTTAAATTCGGCTCTTCTTTGAAGGTTTAACAATTTTTTTTAGAAACCTTTAGTAAACAAACAGGATAATAAAGGGTCCTTTGGTAGCAGGTGCTATGGCAACTGCCTATGTGGCCTATGCCAAAAACTGGCACGGACTGAATATGTACCAAACAAATCCACATGAAAGAATAGTGTGTGTTTTTAAATGCCAATTTAATGAATGTGAAATGTTTAAGGTGTGTGGGCAAGACACTGCATTTTTTTTTTTTTTTTAGGAAGAATTTCAGTCATTTAGAAAATGCTGCTGTGTGCTTCTACAATTTGTTTCTCATAAAACACTTTAACCTTTCAGGACCTGGCCTGCAGCTGTAGCTCAGCCACTGCAGAGCCACACAGGGGTAGTTTTGAAGGCCTTTTTGCCCCACAGGTGATGTTTATAGGCCTTGCAGACATTCTAATTATAGCGGCACTCGTATGCCAAAGTGAGCGCTGCTTCTTATTTCCAATACCACCCACCACAGCCGCTGACAGCACACCACACGAAAACAGTCAAATGTGTCTCAAAATTGAGGGAATTTTATATTAAAATTCATATTTTCAGGGAGAGGAGGTGATTTTTAAAAAGCGCTTCAGGTTTTTTTTGTGTGTGTGTGTGTGTGTGTTTGTGTGTGCCCAGTTTTGGCACTTTTCTGAATCGTCGGTAAGAAATGCTGTATTTGAGTTACAGCTGGGTTATTTTTTTTTTTTTTATTCAGATGAAAAAAAAAGCTATATAATTTTGACCTTGTGTGCAGTGCATTGGCTTGATTACAGTTTCATCTGTCAAATGAGTGCCGAAGAAGAAGAAACTGACATCACATTGTATTACTAATCCAATTTCATATTGATTGACAGTGTGTGCTTCCACTAGTTCCCTGTATTATGGCCTCCTAAACTATTAAAGCACACAGAAGCATTATTTGCATTTTAAAAAAAATTGGACCATTTGCTTGGCAGTAATTAGCTTCGCTCCGCCGACTTTGGAAATTTAATTGCAGGTAAGGCAGAATCAGCTAACAATAGGATAAGGGAAGCATTGCAGTGTGTGTGTGTCTGTGTGTGTGTGGGATCAACAAACAGCGGAGGCTTCGGTGCAGACGAAGCAGCAGAATATTAACAAAAAATGTTCTGACCACTTTCCCCTCCTCCGCACCTCTCCCCTAGTCATTAAATGACATGCAATATTAATTATCTCAGTAAATTAATGTTTCATTAAATTTTTCCGTTTAATAGGTACAACATAGACCAGAGGATGTTTGCCATTTATCATGCGCTTCAAGCTTCAGTGGGTTGCTTCCTTAAAAAAAAAAGGCTTGACCTTGAATTCTGTGTTTATGGGTTCTTGTTTGTTGGAAACGGAAACGTGATTGAGCGCCATTAAGCTAATATCCTGTGCCTGAGAACATGTACGTCTGTTACTTAAAGATAAATATTTCAGTTGCTTTTATATTTTTGCCTGCGGTTATTATTGTGATTTGCATGCAGTCCTCATGCTCACTGTTTAGCCTACACAGAACCTCATTAAAGAGTTCTGTTAAAGTTCATCGGTTTGAATGATCTAATTTTCAACATTTACTCTTGGAATAAAAGCGATCAACAAATGTGATAGTTGAACTAATTCTTGTTCAGATTAGCAGACTTGTAGTAATGGGCAATTAGTGAAACATGTCACAGAAGGCACTTTTGTAGTTACTCAAAAATATCACAAACTATTACTGGCTATTTTCC